TGTTAGCTTCTGTCACTGGAAATCATCCAATGTCTTAAAAGTGTCTCCAAATAAGTTTTAATTACCGCAAATTTCAAGCCACTACCACTAGCAACAACCCAACTAACCCAACACCACTAACCCAAATTAACACTAAACTAAACTTTGGGTAATTGCTAATGGTAGTCCACTAACATTTTTAGCTATTTTCGAAATAAATTCAATATCAAGGTGCATATTATTACACTCTTTAGCTGATTTCTAGAGAGATATATAGCTATCCAGTTGTAGCTATATTTTTCAAAAAGGTAATTTGAATGTGTTCAATTTTTTTGAGACACCCATGGAGATGTTGGGTGCACTCTTGGAAAGCCATTTATTGAAGGATCTATGAGAATTCGGTCAATAGTTGATAACTTGCCCTAATGATAGTCCAGGAGCCAAGTTAATTTTCTGGAAAAATCTGGACACTTTGGAACACGAGCTGAAACTTTGTGTTGATTTGTTCTTTATGTTTATATGAGCATTATCTTCACATTCATTAACAAAAACATAACTTATTAGAGCTGACTTTCATTTTTCAAATGCATGGATTATGCCTCAGGTTTTTAAGTACCTAAAGAATAAATTAAGTAGGTACAGGGTGGTACACTTATATTGAACTTCTGTTGATGTTGAGGTTTCATAAATAATTTTGAAGTACATGATGTTTTTTTAATGCTCTTTCCATGTTATTAGAACATTTTTAATTGATTTGATTCATCAAACTACAAATGCACCAACAATTTTCCTACCGTTGTGTTTTTTTTTTAGGTGAGCCCTCCTGTAAGCAAACAAAGTCCAGAAGTCATCTGAGCCTAATCAATATCACTCCTGGTAAAAATTGCTAGATGGATTTTTGAGAGGTACATATTCATTTTGAAACCCTAGTATGATGAACTCCTAACTTTCTCCTTTTTCTCCTGAAAGTTTCATAGTTTTTCCTTCAGTAGTTTTCCAGAAAAAAATCAAAGTTCAAGCGGGTGCATTTCTGCTTAATTTGGATTTTGCATGTTGATTTCCATTAATTTCCCATTTTGTTATTTTTCACTGGAAAAGTTTGAAATTTTAGTATGATGGGCTCTTAACTTTCCTCTTTTTCTCCTGAAAATTCCATAATTTTACCTTCAGTAGTTTTCCAGAAAAAAATTAAATCTAAGTGGTTGCATTTTTGCTTAATTTAGATTTAGCAAGTTTATTTTCATTAATTTCCCATTTTGTTATTTGACTTTTCACTGGATAAGTTCAAAAGTTAGCATGATGAGCTCCTAACTTTCTTCTTTTTTTTTGAAAGTTTCATAAATTTCCTTTCAGTAGTTTTCCAGAAAGAAAATGAAATGTATGAGGGTGCAGTTTTGCCTAATTTGGATTTTGCAAGTTGATTTCCATTAATTTCCCATTTTATTATTTTTCAATAGATAAGTTTGAAATTTTAGTATGATAAGCTTTTAACCTTCCTCTTTTTCTCCTGAAAGTTTCATAATTTTCTCTTCAGTGGTCTTCCAGAAAAAAATTAAAATGCAAGAGGGTGCATTTTTACTCATTTGGATTTTGCAAGTTGATTTCCATTAATTTCCCATTTTGTCATTTTTCACTGGAAACGTTTGTTTATTGATGCTCCTAACTTTCCTCTTTTTCTGCTGATAGTTTCATACTTTTTCCTTCAGTGGTTTTCTAAAAAAAAATTGAAATGCAAGAGAGTGCATTTCTGCTTGATTTGGATTTTGCAAGTTGATTTCTATTAATTTCCCATTTTGTTATTTTTCACTGGATAATTTTGAAATTTTAGTATAATGAGCTCCTGACTTTCCTCTTTTTTTCCAGAAAATTTCATAATTTTCCCTTCAGGAGGTTTCCAGAAAAAAATGAAAATGCAAGAGGGTGCATTTTTGCCAAGATTTTTGCTTAGTTTGAATTTTGCAAGTTGATTTCTACTAATTTCCCATTTTGTTATTTTTCACTGGATATGAGTTTCAAATTTTAGTATGATGAGCTCCTTACTTTCCTCTTCACCTCCTGGAAGTTTCAAAAATTTCCCTGCGGTAGTTTTCCAGGAAGAAATAAAATGTAAAAGAGTTCATTGATATCCATGAAAATTGTGCCATTTTTATTTTTTAGGTGAGCTTCCCCCAAGAAAGTCCAGAATCTTTTGAGCCTAATCAATTAAAATAGACTCTCAATTATTTCTGGTGAAAATCTCAATTGAGGTGTGTACATCACAAAACAAAAAAATGCAAGGTAAGAGTACATTTTCCACGTTGTATATTAATTGAGCATTTGGTTGTAAACTTTTCATTCACTCAAAATCAAAAATTTGAAGTTGCATTTTACCAATATCCATCATGTGGTTTGAGCGTTTCTTTTTGGTACCAGCTGTGTCACGGAGAACCCTAATGCCATAGTTGTCCTGGATCTCATTTACTGCACTGATATACTATCACGGTAAGTGTAGCAGCAGCAAAACTGATACTGGCAAGAAAGGGTTAAATTATGGATGCTGTTGGGTGTCGGTACAACTACAATGTAATTTTTATAGTGGATCAAGCCTAAAGGGACACAGAACAATTAAATGCTCTCTTCAGTCATTTTGATTTGTGTGTTCCAGATGAAGATAATATCAACATCATCGGGCAGCTTTCTGAAAATGAGTTGTTTGCAGAATATTAACAGCTGAATAAATTTTTGTTTTGTGTCTTTCAGATGAACCTTCAACCTCGCCTTCAACATAGGTTCCTGAATATCATGAGCCCCTTCAAGTTACTTCCAGAGGTCTTTCCAGAACATTGTAAACCCTAAAACAAGATTTCCTTTCCCTGTTCCCAAACCGCGTTGTTCTGATTTTCATGCTTCTCAGGATATGTTTATGAGGATTTCATGCTTTTCGGGGCCTTGGACACCCTTGGATATTCTAGGGTAGGATGCTCTGGATACCGTTGGATACTTTCGAGGATATTTTAGTTTTTTCAGGAAAGGATATCATTGAAAGCTGAAATAGGTAATTTCCGAGGTAATTTCTAACATTTCTACATTGAATTTTTCAAGGTTATTTTCCAGGCATCCCTTTTCTAAATTGAACCAGGAAGTAAGTTGGTTTTGGCTCTGGATATGGCACAAATGTACCAACAGAGGCTTTATGGATCCCTTTGGGTGGTTAATAATAAATAATACCTAATAATAAATTTTTGTCTTTTTCAGGCATAGTAATAAAACATTTATCTAACATTCCAGGTTTCTCTTTTCTATGTCCATTTTCTCAACATCTTTTCCAGTTTTGTTATCATTACTTTGGACATTGGACAGCATCTCTTGCAAACTGGAGATGGCCACAAATTACTGGAAATGGTGGACATGACTGCACGGCTTGAGTTGCTAATTATAACTTTTCTCCGAGCCCTTCTCTTCCAGGTGAAATTACATATGTGCATCAATTCCCAAAAAACAGTTTATGATTCGACTGAATCTTCAAGGCAGGGAAGCCCTGGGGGAGCCTAATGCCATAGTTGTCCTGGACCCCTTTTGTGGCACTTATATACTATTTATGGTAAGTGTTCACAGTTGTGCATTCCTAGCTGGCAAGTGAAAGTTGGATTAACGGATAGTTGACGGTTTTGGCTGTACAAGTGTAGTTTCGAGTGGACTAGTAGTGTAGAAATTGAGCTTATTCAAGTTAAAATTGGCAAACTCAATAAGGTAAGTTATTGAAAATAAAATTTTTCCACAACACTGGAATCTTAAAAGACTCTACCTCTACCAGAGGAAGAGATGCTTGATTTTGCCTCTAGAATATCTAAGACTTACAGATTGATTTTGAGCTTCCCAGAACAACTTCCAGATTCAAAATTCAAGTTGGGGAAAATTGTTTTAATACAATATTGTTCCATTTTGATTGTATAAGTTGTATTTTTGAGTAATTTAAGGGCAAAAACAGCAGCAAAATCACGTTAAGATCAGATATAAATTAACAAAATTTTGAGGCAAAATGTATGTTAGTGTCATTTTCCTAATAAACATCATAGTCAAGACTTTGAACCTTTGTAGCTGCAAAATTGTTGAAGCTGAATAACTAAATAATAGATCACAACAAACGAGAAAGAGATATTTAAATAATAAAGGGATTAAAGGGAGCATTAAATATCTAAAACAATTTTTTCAATCACTAAAAATAATAATAAAATAAAAATAAATTCATCCCCTGGATTTGTCTCAATTTTTTGTATAGAAAAGAGCAATTCACACTAACACCAGCACAATTGAGCACAAAATAAGCATAATTGAATGAGCCAAAAAGTGAGATAAGTGCGGGGCTGGAGTCAAGCTGACCCGAGAGCTGACCCCTGAATTTGTTTCAATTTTTTTTGGTGTATGAGAATTTCGCTTAGCATAATTCGCATAAACACCTGCACAACTGAGCACAAAACGAGGAAAGTTGACTACAATAATTGAGAAACAATACAAAACCGAATCTGGGGGGCCAACTTGAGCGAGCTTTTTCCCTCCATGTTGCAATTTGCTAATTTTACTTGCACACAACTTTCAACAACCGAAAGTAGATTATGATTTGCTAGAGCACTCTCCCAACTTGTTTAGATGTGCAAGCGATTTTTACCGCAACCACTTCTTGCCAATTTTGCGACTTGCTTTTGGAGAGGACTGTCGGACACTGTTTAGTGTTTACATTCAGCAAATTCTTTGGAAGTGCTCTCAGACATAAACTTCCAATAGTTTAAGTTGCTCGTGTAAACTACGCTTAACCTCAAGAACCGAAGCAACAAAGTTTCAAACTTGCTATCCGTCAAAAATAATGGGAACATAAATTATTAAAATACAGTGTAAACAAGCCAGCAAGTGTACTTGGGGAAAAAACTATCCCATGTTACTTGCAAGTGGATACGGGGCTTGAGTTAAAGAATCTTAAAACAAAATAAATACAAATTCTCTACCTTAAGAATAATATGAAAACATAAACATTGGGAAATACTCACCTTAACAGCATAATCAATCACTCTTTTAACACCAACAAGCACACGGGCCATTTTTGAACAAAAATTTAAGGGTGCTAAATTGAAAAAAAGCTTAGAAAAGTTTAGAGAAATTAATTCTGAACTTTGTACTTTGATTTGTGGAACTTGCTTTTTTGTTGATAGTTGGCAGATGTTGATCAATCGCTTGCTGTCCGGGGGGCAAGATAAGGAGCAAGCACAGCAACACAAGTGTAAGAAAAGGACAGATATACTTTTTTCAAATGTAGCAACATCAGCAAGGTTAGTTACCGGATAGAGGTTCACTTGTTTTGGAGATGTGGTACTGTGTACTAGGGAACTAGAGTACTTTATCGGGTGGGGATATAATTGATACACATGGTACTAGTAAAATTCAATAAGTAAAATCAAGTAGCTTTATTTTACTAGCAGCAATCAGTAATAAAATCTAGTATAATATGCGTACATAAACTGAGCTATATTGGTCTCCACTGTAACAAATGACTATTTGAGTATTTATACATATTGTCCTCTTAGCATAATTTCTCGACAATAAAGGACATTGGGTGATATGAATAAAAACGAAGTACTTGCTACTACTACAAGTAGTAGGTAGTATATTCCACAAAGTATCTACTTCATAACGAAGGATTTACTTATTTCCGTTAGTTTCGAAATGTAGTAGCTACTTCATTTTAAAGTAAATACTACGGAGAATATGCTACTACTTGTAGTAGTAGCAGATACTTCGTTTTTATTCATACCACCCATTATTTCCTTCTTCCAATATTAATGTAGGAACAAAATTGTTAGGTAGAAAATTCAATAAAACTACGCGTTTTTTTTAAATATTATAATAACAGTACAAAACAACTTAAAATAATCTCACTTAATTTCTTAACCAATCGTTACAAAAAAGGTGCATAACAAAATAGGCTTTCCAACCTACTAATACCCAAGACTAATACCAGAATTACATGTTTCATTAAAAAACTAAAAACAAGGCACAGCTCTAAGCACCAGTCAGATTCTTTTCTAGAACTTGTATTTTTGATTTATTATTTGTTTTTCTGTAGTACTATTAGGAACTATTTAGGTACTGATTGTATTGCATTGAAATCAGAATATGAAAATAGGAAATTTTGAATTTACTCATATTACCCTGTATGTAAACTTAAAATAGTCTCACTTATTTCTTCTCACAATAAACATTATAAATAAAAATATGTTTTTAACCTACTGTAATATTAACTTCCATTGAAAAATGAAAATAATTAAGGCACATCAACCCTTTCTCCCTCTGAAGGTGAACCATGATTGGTTCTGATTAGTCATGCAAAACTTATAAATAGACAATATAATCAATAAAATACTCCAAAGTAGTGTTTGGACATATTACAGGGGCATGCGGGTCCTTTGTCAACACTTGGACAACAAGCAGGACATCTCCGGGAGAAAATTGATGGGATGGAATGATGCTTTCAAATACCGTTTCTGGATGACCGCAGCGTCTGTGGTCCAAGTTCCATCGGAGCGCGTTTGGTAGATGCTGTTTTTGGATCTTGATAAAACGCCTCACCTAAAGAGAGGTATGAAATTTTTATTGATAATCATTGTTTAGGGCTTAGGCCCACTTCTTTGACATTTCCACCACCTTAACAAATGTATAGACATAATCAAATATGTAATAATGTTCCATCTAGTAGCATAGCCTGTATATCTTATCATATTTTCATGGGTTCTCAAAATTTAACATTTCCTGTGTGTTTCTTGCAAACACATTTCATGATTTTGATTGACCTTCAAATATTTCAATGCTCAATCTTAATTAGGTATACATTGTACTTTTTTAATTGTATTGTTCCAAGCAAGTAAACTGAATTGATAGCTTATCGCTCGGCTTATCGGCTTTATTATTTGATTGTTCAATACCTAATGGGAACACTGACATTTAAAAGTTTCAGTCGTACAGGGTGACCCCAGCCCATTTTCTATGGGCTTTTAATGGGTCTATATGAGAAACCAGCAAATATTTCAAAACTCTTTGGCTAAAAGTTTCCAAGTATAGGCAATGCTTCGAGTAGAATCTTAAGCCATATTTTTGCGAGCCAGACTTCTTAAGACATGTCTGTAGACATTTTGAAATTTTACGTCATCAATTATCCGTGGATTATCCTAAACGCAAAAATAGCCTGTTATAAGCGATAGATGTCATCTGTCACATTTGTTTACATTTTATTTTTCATCCTGTTTCACAGTTCGCCATTTCCATAGTCAAAATATTTCGAGAAATATTTATTTAAAATTATAAATATATAAAGGGCATTAAACGAGCACAAAAACGAAGCAATTAGCAAATTACCGCTATTTTTCATTTTCAATATACTGTCAATCCCCACTCTCTCGCTCAAGATTTTTGTGGCGTGCTTTGGAGGGCGCTCAAAAAATCTTGAAGCTGCTTAAAGACTGACGTCATGTCTCGTCCGCGAAAATGACAGTTCTACTAGTTGCTAAGTGCTTCTTATCCGCAAAAATATGGCTCTAGTGATGATCAATTTTTTTTCAAATGTTTTTCTAAAGAAAGCTCTTCCTAGTTCCGATAATGTTCCATATAAAAGACTGAAACATCTAGTGACAAAAACAAAATCCATATCTATTCTGTCACAGGACAGAGGAAATATTCAGGATACATCATCCAGATAATTCAAGTACCCATGCGCGTTCAGAAGTAATGCTGAAGATGAGGAACAACAATATGAGGTCCTTATTCACAAGCCTACCGAGGGAAGAAAATTCCTATCTGCAAAAAAAGAATACATAGTGCAAGCAACAGTATTCTCAAATAAGAAATGTTTCGCCGATAGTAACCGAATTTTAAGGATGTCAAGACAAAACCTTTCTATTAATCCCTCAGTATCTCTTCTTATGGTGACCGCATCAACCAATTTGTCTTGGCATGAACATGGTATCTTCGATGGCTAAACCCGCTTCTAAAAAAATAGGTTTTCCGTTTCCTGCAAAAAACTTCTTTACTTCTGAACAACTTCTTCAACTATAAGGCTCATATCAGGCCATGTATGGAATACTGTTCCCACATCTGGAGTGATATGCTATCAAGCATTCGTTGGCTCTATTAGATGCAGTACAAAGAAGAGCAATAGAAATGATCGATAATTCCGAGGATAATCCAACTTTCACCGATTCATTGCAATCTCTCGAACATAGACGCAAGGTGGCTGAATTGTTGATGCTTCTTTTTGGTGACGTACTGCCCAACTCTGGAACTCCCTGCCTCCTACTTCAATTCCTGAACAATTTAACCTGACGGAGGTTAATCAATGTCACTTATTTCTTCCGCTTATGGTACCACTTAGGTAGTACAGACTTTGTAAGCGGACCGATATAGAATAAAGATAATGGACAACCTTACCTAATGCTACAGTAAGGCAAGTTGTCGAGAATGACACCCAGCCCAAAGGAAAATTCGGATTGGGACTTGGCAACTAAAAAAATCTAAGTAGGAGAAGAGAACTACCAAATTACCTCCAAAATTGAAACTTGCATTGTATAAGTACATTACATTCCTGCAAAAGAAAAAGCCACTTCAGAGAAGATGGTCTTGGAGAAGTCCAGTTAGGTCAACAATTAAAAATGAGATTGATTGACTACATTATTATCACAAATCGGTGGTACAGTGTACTGTAACGATTCGCCAGGCTGTCAAGAATCTCTCGGTATTATCTCTTGAGTATACTAGAATTAGAACTGTGAGTAAGATCCAATGTAAAATCTCCCAAAAAGTTAGGGATAATTTAGCGTTAAATTCACCAAAGAAAAAACGTCCACATAAGAAGCGGGTTACGAATCAAGATCAACTTGATGTTAGGTCTATTCCGAGGGGTGAATAGCTCTTGCAGTCGGTGTACATATTTCTCACAATCTTCACACAATCATTCACAATCGTTCACAATTTGTCACAATCGTTACACAATCTCACACAATCTGTCACAATCGTTACACAATCACACAAAATCTCTCACATTCGTGTCACAATCTCCCACAATCGTTGCACAATATCTCACAATCGTTACACAATCGCTCCACAATCTACCACCATCTGTAACATGTGAGGCCCCTCCAAATAGTTTAATTTACTTCATTTTCGCCCATAGCTATAAGCCAATAAGCCTGTTTGATGAGCTGACTTTTGTATGCCACCTACAGTACACATTCCTGAACTCTAATTGCACTGGATAGAGAAATACTGAGGGGAATACCAATAAACCCAACCTCAAAAATGTTTGGTTGCCATTGAGGTAGTAGGTTGCTGAGCGAGAGAGTTAAAAACGAAGTTAAAAATATTTAAATTAAAAACCGAAAAGAAGTCACCTCAGATGGCTTAAGAATCCAGACCTAGATGTTGTAGGATAAAAAAGATACTTCAGAATAAATTTCACTTCATGGTTGCCACTTTTTCTCTTCTACACTATGGCATTATGGAATTTGAAATCCGACGAGCCAACATCATCCACTTTATTTTTTTGAATACAGTCAAAAAAGTATGATAATTTGTATGGAGATACCTGTTATCTTCGTCAAACAAAAACAATTTACCCAATTAATATATGTGGTATAAAATAATGAGTTTGACAAAGATGAGTATCTCCATACAAATTATATATTTTTTTGATTGAAATGTTCATTTTTTGCCCCAAACTGACCCTGCATCTCTTATGGATACCGAGATCCGCATACTTTCTCGCGAATTTGTAACACCCTGTATATGGTCCAATCCATTTTAAAAATTATCAATCATCCATTTACACTATCAAGGTTTGAGTTAAAAAAAATAACAATATTTTTTAGCAAATAAAAGCCTAATTTGAAAAAAGTATCTATCTCACAACAAATTCTTCAATAATTTGTCATCATATTCCTATGTTATTGTTACTGTCTGTCACGTCTGTCTGTCACGTCTGTCTGTGATGATTTTTTTAAATTCAAACACGCGGTATATACAGGGTGTCTCCGTTCAACTCATCAAAAATGCTAGGATTTATAGAGGAACCATAGAGAAGTAGTTTGAGATAGGACATCAATGGTCGAAATTGCGTCGTTTCGAAAATACATGGTGTTGAAATTTAAACAACCTGCTTTCATAATCTGAAGGGCTAATGCTAGGCTGTTCAAATTTTCAGGGATTATTGAAGTAGAAATGATATTCAAAAATTTGTATAGTGCACCTTCATTTTCTACCTGGAACAACCCCAAAAAAAATAAAAAAATTATTTAGAGAAAAAT